CCGCTAAGAGGGTGATACGCTACTTGTGCAGTACGTCGGGCATGGGGCTCGTGCTTGGAGGTCGGGCTCCAGTTGTCCTCACTGGTCACGCAGATGCTTCTTGGGTTGACGACTTGGCTACGCAGCGTTCGTCACAGGGTTACACCTTCAGCCTTGGCTCCGACTCTGTTTCTTGGCGGTCTACCCGCTTGTTTTCTGTTCTCAGCTCTAGTTGTGAGGCTGAGATCTACGCAGGGGCCATGGCTGCACAGGAGTTACGCTGGCTCACCTACCTGCTGACGGACCTGGGAGAGCCGCCTCATTCTCCTCCAGTTCTGTACGTCGACAACAAGGCCATGAGGAGCCGAGTCCGGAGGAGGAAGCGTAGGGCGGTACGCGGTAGGATACTGTGAGCGGACAGGAGGGGAGGAGGGAAGACCAAGGGCCCGAAGGCCACTCACTGGTGGGAACAGCTGCTGCAAAAGTGGCGGCTGCGGCGAACGCTGCTGCTGCTGCTCCTGCAGGTCCAACTTGCCCAGCTCCTGCCTCTCCTGTTCCAACCGCTCCTACTCCTCACTCTCACGTTGGCGAGCCACCTGGAGACGTGTCTCGTGGCAGTGGGGAGACGCAGTAGTAGTGCCTCCGGCTCCAGTCTCCTCAAAACTAGCACCTCCAATGCCAGTACCTCCTGCTCCAGCACCCCCTGAACTAGCACCTCCAGCGCCAGCACCTCCAGCTCCAGCATCCCCAGAAGTAGCACCTCCGGCGCCAGCACCTCCAGCTCCAGCACCCCCAGATTTAGCACCACTAGTGCCACCACCTCCAGCTCCAGCACCCCCCGACCTAGAACCTCCAGTGCCAGCACCTCCAGCTCCAGCACCCCTCAAAAGAGCACCCCCAGGACGAGTACCTCCAGTGGTAGCACCTCCAGCTCCAACACCCCCTGAGTCCACAGTAACCTGTACCGGAGGTGCCGAAGTCTGCTGAGGAGACTGTGAGGAGGACTGCGGGGAGGGAGACGCTACCTGACGTGCGACCGAGGGTAGTGTGAGACACACCTGACGGGGCAGGACCAGGGGGGGACGGGGGTACCGGAGGAACGGGAGCGGGAGGAGGAGAGGGTGCGAGGAAATGGAGAGGGGGGGGAACCGGGAGACCTCGACAAGGGTAGCGAGTATAGTGGGACACTGACTCGTCAAACCGGGCGTCACGGGAGTCGAGGAACTGGTGGAAGGGCGGGTAGTAAAAGGCGTAGTCAAGAGAGTCTACTGGGAAACCAAGGAAGACACAGGGGATGGCACGAGCCGAGAGCTTGTCCGCAGAGGTGTCGAGGACAAGCGCAAGGCAGCCCCAAATACGACAGGCCGACCCAATACCAGGAGAACCGGTCCAAAGACTGGTCGGAGAAGCCACTGGCCGCGAGACACGCGGCTGAAGGTTCGGCTGGTGGGCGGCATAGCGAACCGCGTAGGGCCACAAAAAATGGGGGGCACTGGCATGGATTATGGACGTGCGGGCGATGCCCATGACCAAGCCAATGCGGCGCTCAGCAACCCCATTCTGCTGTGGGGACTTCGGAAGCATCCAGGATTGTGAGATGCCTTGATCGCCGCAGAATCCGAGAAGAATGCCGGAGCGAAACTCGCCCCCACGGTCGGAGTGGAGACAGGAGACACGACGACCACGAGTGCTATCAGTGGCCAGAAACCACCGGATCAGCGTAAAAGTTACCCCTGACTTCTTCGCAAGAGGAAACACCGTGGTGTACCTGGAGTAGTCGTCGACGACCACCAGAAAGTAGCGCTCCCTCTCAGGTCCCTGCGTAGGGGCAGGGCCCCAGACGTCCAAATGGAGAGTCTGGAAGGGAGCAGTGGCCGAACGAAGGGAGGAGGAGTGCGGAGTGGCGCGCAGGCGGCTGGCGACGCAAGGAGTAGATGGCGGTGCAAGCGAGGGAGGGAGGAACGCAAACACGCGAGGGAGACCAGGGACAAGACGCTGGCTGGCCTTTCTGCGGGGGCGTGGGATGGAGGGGTGACCTAGATGGTGGTGCCACAAGACTGTCGGGTGGGAGAGTGACCGAGAAGAGCAAGATGCAGCAACCAAACCAGACACGGCAACCTTACCGGACACAACAACCTGACTGGACACAGCAACCTGAGGGGACGAAATAACCTGACCGGGCTCTGCTACCTGGGGGACGCAGTGTGTATAACAAAGAGACCTGAGTGGGGTTCCCTGGTTAACGTGGCAAGAAGTGCCCCGGAGGAAGCGTCCGTACAGATCCTCGTCCTCCCGTGCGCAGGAAAAGTGACTGTGATTCCACGGTCCTGAAGGTATCCAACACCCACCAAGTTCTGAGAAAACGAGGGGATGTAGAGACCAGTGAGGAAACCAGAAGGGACAGCCAGGCACGGGAGAGTGGTCGAGCTGCAAGCGACTAGGAAGTCGGCTAGGCAAGGCGGGCTAGGAACGCCAGTCGGGGCACAAAAACGAAACTACGCCAGGAAAAGTGACTGCGGCTGCCCGCCGGCGTTATGCCAAAGGCAGGAGGCGTGCACGAGACAATGGGCATTGGTGGTACTGCGGGCGCCTATGGGCGACAGTAGGCGAAAAATAGGCGGATGTAGGCGGTGGTGGGTGGCTAGGAGGGGCTGTGGGCGGCTGGGAGAGGCTGTGGGCGGCAGGAAGAGGCTGTGGGCAACTAGGATGAGATGTAGGCGGTTGGTGTTTGCTGCTGGAAGTAAGTTCCAGCTAGTGCGGCCCGTGCTAGCGCTTTTGTTGGCTATGTGTAATGCAGCCGTGTGTTGCTGCGTGCGGGCAGCAGGCGGAGCGTGGTGTTCGCAACACTGCGGGTTCGTGGCTGCAGAAGCAGGCCGCTGGCCGCTAGCACTGCTGCTGCTACTGCTGGCGGCTGCAGGCGCTAGCAATGCGGCTGCTGCTGGAACTATCTAGGTCTAGGAACTTAGCACGTGATACCATCTCAAGAGTAGGCTAGCGGAACAGTTCGACTAGTAGGAAACAAGGTACAAATAGGAATGTCGAGAAAGTTGTGTATCCTCTCTAATGTGTGCCTCACTGTAGACTAACATGCATATTTGTTACTTGACAGCTTCATCGCTTGGACGGGGGGCAGTTGGTGTTGAGTTGTTAATATCAAGGGAGAAGGTGTGCGGGGCGGTTTCTCGGCCATTTGCGGCCGGTTGAGTAGGTTGAGCGGGTTGCGAGGAGGTTCCCGCGTCGCCGTTCCGCAATGCGTGGAGATCTTTCTCCATTGTTGATAGTCGCTCAAACAGTTGCTCGAGTGCGAAGGTGCTTATCGTGGTTGTCGCCTCAGTTGTCGCAGGCGGGTTGGTCTGGCTTTCAGCCGTCAAATTGGTTTGGCCTCCGGATTCTCCGGCCATCTTGGTCTTGGAACGTGCGCCGCTCGCCATTTTTTTGCTCGACGGATTTTACGGAAGTGGGCGTGCAAAGAATCCCTCAGTTGCTCTCACACCATGTTACAATCCTAAACAGGACTCAGCCAGGGATCGGCACAGGTTTGATCCCAGATAATATTGTTGCAGCGGAAGTGTTGACCTCAGGTCAGAGTGAATGTCAATGACTGAGATGATTAGAAGCATGCACATATCGCGTATATATATGAAAATACAGTGGAAAATGAAATGTCCTAGCTAGCCATGTACTCTGAGGGGTACATTTCCTTAGTACAACGAATTTCAAAACGTGCGGCGCAAGAACCCGTTTCAAACCTATTCCCGCCGTTTTCACGTCGAATGTTTCTGCCTGCATCAGTTTTGATCTGACAGTTACCGGTATCGCTTCAGTTCTTCTGACCCTTCGTCTTCGTACTCGTAAAGGTCTGCTTCTGTAGCGTGCAGGAATGTTTACTCGTAAAGTTCATATATCAACAGAAACCATTGTATGCCTTTGTTATAATCACTTCAATCGTTTTATATTCACTCTGATCGGAGCTCAACTTCTGCTGCATTAACTCTGTGCGAACCATCCTGAGGAGATCCTGGCACGATCAAACTTTTGATCACAACAGGATGCCTTTTTCGACAAGTTATTGAGCCTACGGAGTAATGCTACTACTGCTACTGCCCAGAGGGGCTATCACTAGTGTAATGAAGTTGGATCTAAAAGCAGGTTTAGTAGGAAATATTATGCTAAAAAATGCTGTATTTGTATAGATGAATGAATTCGAGGGAGTGAAATCGAGGACGGAAGTGCGAAACGGCCGAGTATGGGGTGGGTGGGTGGGTGGTGTGACAACCACACGTTCCTGCTGTGAGTGCGGTGGGTTCACACGAACGTCAATTTTCGAGGGGTCAAAATCAGGAAAGTTTCCGTGTCACCAGACAGCCCTGCTTGTTGGAGTCATAATTGGCAAAATATTTTCTGCTGCGGTATTTCGTAATCTTGATCCTGAGGTAAGTAATGGCCCTCATCGACGATGTTGCAGTTGCGTTATTGTCAATTCAGTCCAGAAAATAACCCACAGACCCTTAGCTAAGAGAGTCTGAGAGCTGTGCCCAATCAAGTCCAACATGTGCTGCGACTGTCGCAGCAGACGCTTCCTTGCTTGAATTTTGAAACTTGACCTTGCACAAATCTCTCCACTATCCACACCCTAAAAAAAAAACCATCACACAACTGCCTGCGTGAGGCCAAGGCAGGAATGCAGAGCAGTACAGTACCCACCCATGTGCCACCCACCGCATCCAGTTCCCCACTTACGTCAATAAGGGTGACGTCGCCTCGCCGGCTCTTGCGCTGGCATCCAATTAGGGTTCGATATTATCCATAGTACTCAGCACGGACACGGAGTTTTGCCCATTAGCCGTCTTGGCAGAGTGACGTGTCTTTCTGACGAACACCCTGTGCGACTACCTCTAAGCTCCGCCTGTAGTTAAGCGAAGGACTCCATGTTAGGTTATTAGAATCTTATTCTGATCGTATCACTGTTGAGTACTGTGCGTACCAGCTGATCTAGTTCGAAATTTGGCCAAGGTGTAACCATGTCAGGCTGCGAGGCAGCTGGCGTGGCGTCGACCGCCGTGGCGACAGTCGCGATGCCTTCGCGAGAGAATGGCGACGACATGGGCGAAGACCCGAAGCGCTTCGACTTCGGGTTCGCTTTCAACAACGCCGACTTTGCCGGTGCGCTATAGTCACATCCGGAAGGGCAGAGACACATTCAAGCGTAGTTGAACGGACCGTAGGGTGGTGGGATAAATAGTGCGTTTGAATTACTTATTGAAAATCCCCATAAGTGCTAAAGCAGCGTACGATTAGTCCGTACGAAAGATTGAACACTACGTATGTCAGTCCCGAAACGTCGTGCGTGTAAGACTGTCGATTCTCTCAGAAGACGCTAGTTACCACGTCAATTATCCTAATTGCGGAACGTTTGCAGTTCGGCGTGGGGTTGTTTCAGGGTCCCAATCAGGGTTAATAACCCAAAGAAGTTCAGTCGCAAGACCTCGTCTGTTCGCGAGTGTAACGGATACGTAGAGCGGAAGAAAGCGTCGCTTTGAAACATCTGGATTCCATTCGAGACTCGACGGTTCGCCGTTTCTAACTGTTTCTACCACCGGCTTAGTGACCGTGCCACGTGTCATTCCTCCATCCGTTCGATTGTTTCCCCCACAGACCGCATCGTGCAGCTTCGGATTTGCCCTGACGAAGCCACAACCCCGCGTCGCTCCAGCAGCAGCGGAAGCTTCGGCGCTGCTTCCGGCGGCTCCCCGTCCCGCGGAGGCGGAAGCCCCGTTTCCCCGACCGCCGCCGCCGCTGCCGTAGCCGCCGCGTCTGCCGCCGGGAATCTAGGAAAGCGATGTTCTTCTATCGGAGGGGGAGCGGGGGGGATGGAGCGGGAGGGGGGCGGAAGCGATTGCGCGGATCTGATGGACCTCTCGGGGGAAGGAGGCGAGGGGGAGGCGGAGGGGGAGGGGAGCGGGGGTGCGGGGGATGGGGAGGGGGAAGGGGAGGGAAGGCGAGACGTGGAGGGGCAAGTGCGAAGGTACTCCTTTGATGGCCGAGGGGGAGGGAGAGGCGCGAGCGGCGAGTTGTCGTTTCTTGCTGCTGTGAATAATCACTCCCAAGGTGCGTTTGATGGCGTAGACACTAAAGGTGTGCCTGTTGTAGGTTGTAGAATTGTTGAATTTAGAGAAACTAGACATTTCATCCTGCTGTTGCCGTTTTGTATGATTTCTTACAGCCCCCCTTGATGATGCTTTTGCTCGCCTTTACACGTTTTTTCTACTCAAACCCTGTTTGCCACTGTAACGCTTCTTTTCCCCCGATTCCCCGTACGTTCCTGTGCCTCCCCCCACCCGCCCTCCGCCTTTATACCTGTTGCCTGCTCCTTCCACCCCTCCTTTGCCTGCTCCAACACCCCCACCGCCTCCCTCCTCTTACCGCTCCCGACCTTCCCTTACGCGTTTTCCAGCCGTACCAGGTTTGGGACCGGACCAAGCGGCAGCTCTGACAAGAGGCTCGGCAGCAGGAGGAGCTAGCCTCGGCAGCCGCCCTCACAGCCCCTTCACCACCACCAGCGGTGCTACTGGTGGTGGTGGTGCTGCTGCTCCTGCTGCTTCCGCCGCTGCTTCTGCAACTGCTGCTGCTGCTGGCGCTTCTGCTGCAGCCGGTGCTCCTGCTACTGTTACTGCTGCAGCTGCAGCTGCTGCCAGTGCTGGTGCTGGTACGGGTGCTGTTGGCAGTGCTGCTATTGCTGCTGCAGGGGTTGCTGGGGGGGTTGGAGGAGCAACAACCAGAGCGCCTCGATTCGGCAATCTCGGAGCGACAGGGCTTGCGCCTTTCGAGTCCAGCCAAAGGCAAATTGGAGGGGCGGCGATGGGGACAGGGACGTGTGGTGGGTGCGGCTTGGGGGGCGGTGGCAGCATCAGTGCTCACCTGGGCGGCAGTAGCGGGAATCTGGGCGGCAGCGGGGGTGCAAATCTGGGCGGAGGGGGGGGTGGCGGTGTGACGATAGGGAGTTGTGGTGGGTACAGAGTGGTGAATCTGCATTTGTCCTCGGTGGTGCTGGCAGCGAAGTCTGCCTTCTTCCGCACGCTCTTCACGTGTGGCTTTAAGGAGACGTGCCAGAACAACCCTGTGGTCCTCAACGTCTCGCCAGAAGGTAAAGTATGCGACCCGCATTCCACCAGACACTTGCAACAGGCAGGCGCTGTGTGCCAAGCCAGCATGCAGTGCACTCGGCCTTCTTCCGCGCGCTTTTCCCCGCCACAAGCTAAGGTGCTGGGAAACAGGAAAGTATCCACAAGCCTTTTTTGTCAAGCCTGCCTGCCTTTCACTCTAACCTTGTGTCGCACCCCACCCCCCAATCCCCTCCCCCCATTTCTCCTTCCCCCGCAGAGGAGGGCCCAGTAATCGACCTGCTGCGCTTCATCTACACGGACGACATGCAGGAGGGCAGCAGCAATTCAGAGGACATAATCACGATGTTCCTTCCACTCACTCCCTTGCACCTCTTCCCACTCCCGCTCTCCCTTGCACCTCTTCCCACTCCCGCTCTCCCTTGCACCTCTTCCCACTCCCGCTCTCCCTTGCACCTCTTCCCACTCCCGCTCTCCCTTGTCATCGTCAGAGGAGGGCCCAGTGATCGATCTCCTCCGATTCATCTACACGGGCGACATGGCGGAGGGCAGCAGCGACCCGGAGGACATCATCAAGATGTACCTCGTGGCCGACAAGTTCGGCGTCGCCTCGTGCATGAAGATCTGCCTCGAGCGCCTCGTCAACCTCCCCATGACCGTCCCCACCGCCTGCCTCTACCTCTCTCTCCCCGACTCCATGCACTCGCATAGAGGGGTCGCGCAGCTGCTGGAAGCTTCCCGGGGGTTTCTGGTGGCGCATTTCAGGGATCTGGAGCGGGTGCACAAGGGGGAGGAGTTTCTGGAGCTGCCGCTGGTGGGCGTGCAGACGCTGCTGGCCAGTGATGAGCTGAATGTAAGGGACGAGCTCACGGCGTTTCATGCCATGGTGGAGTGGCTGAGGCACCACCATGATGACCTGGATGACAGGAAGTGAGTGATTTCGTCTCTCCACTCTCGCCCCCTTCCCCCTCACTCCCCTCTTTTCGTTCTCACGAGCTGAATGTGAGGGGCGAGCTGAATGTGAGGGACGAGCTCACGGCGTTTCATGCCATGGTGGAGTGGCTGCGGCACCACCACGACGACTGGACGACAGGAAGTGAGTGTGCTCTGGTTGGTTGTGACGACCTGTATGACAGAAAGTGAGAGCCTCGAGGTGCAGAGTGCTCTACTCATTTCCTCACCATCATGCCTCAATCCTCTTGTTCCCTCTCCACCACTCTCCACCACCTCCCACCACACACCACCACTCTACACCGCACACCACCAGGCGGGCAGCGGTGCGTCTGGCGGAGCACGTGCGCTTCCCCCTCATGACAGGGGACGACCTCGAGGACGTGGTGCTCAAGGCACCCGAGGTGGACAGCCCCGAGTGCCAGGCGCTGGTGAGGTTTTATATAGGCTGGCGGGCGCTGGTGAGAGGTGCTGGGGAGGGTGGGCTTTCAGGGTGTGTCAGGAGGGGGGGTTGCAGCGGGGTTGGTGGGGAAGGGGCTGGTGCTGACCTCGAGGGTGTGGTGCCCAAGGCGCCCGAGGTGGGCTGCCTCGAGTGCCAGGCGCTGGGGGGAGTTGGGCGCTGGGGGGAGTTGGGCGCTGGGGGGAGTTGGGCGCTGGGGGGAGTTGGGCGCTGGGGAGAGTTGGGCGCTGGGTGGAGTTGGGCGCTGGGGGGAGTTGGGCGCTGGGGGGAGTTGGGCGCTGGGGGGAGTTGGGCGCTGGGGGGAGTTGGGCGCTGGGGGGAGTTGGGCGCTGGGGGGAGTTGGGCGCTGGGGGGAGTTGGGCGCTGGGGAGAGAGCGATTAGGCAGGTCATGTCTACAAGAAGTCAAGGTGCTGGGTTGCTGGGCTTGATGGTGTGCTGTATGCTCAAGTCAACGCCTTGCTCCCTCCCCATCTTTCTCTTTACCTTCCCCCCTCTTCCCCCACCAACCCTCCTCGCCCCGCCCGCCTCCTCTTCTCCATTTTCCGTTCATATCTCTTATTTCCTGCCAGGTGAGGGAGGCAGCATGGTTCCGAGCATACAGCTTGGTGCGTCGCCTGCGCCTCATGAACGAGACGGCCGCCACGCACAGGCCGACCCTCTCTCATCATCAACACACTTCCCCCGCCCCCCCTCCCCTCCCTTTTCCCCCCACACGCCCCACCTTGCCTGTCTTGCTCTCCCGTACATACCTGCCAGGTGAGAGAAGCAGCATGGTTCCGAGCATACAGCTTGGTGCGTCGGCTGAGGCTCATGAACGAGACAGCCGCCACACACAGGCGCTTCTGGCAGCGCCGCTGGAACCGCAACTCCGTGGGCCACGTGTACTTCGATATTCACCTCGAGAGGTTTCAGGTGGGTGCTCTGTTGGTGTCTGTCAGGTAGGCTGTGTTCAGGGTTTTGCGCCACTTCTGAGGCGCCTAGAGGATGTGGTTTTGCGCCACTTCTGAGGCGCCTAGAGGATGTGGTTTTGCGCCACTTCTGAGGCGCCTAGAGGATGGGGTTTTGCGCCACTTCTGAGGCGCCTAGAGGATGTGGTTTTGCGCCACTTCTGAGGCGCCTAGAGGATGTGGTTTTGCGCCACTTCTGAGGCGCCTAGAGGATGTGGTTTTGCGCCACTTCTGAGGCGCCTAGAGGATGTGGTTTTGCGCCACTTCTGAGGCGCCTAGAGGATGTGGTTTTGCGCCACTTCTGAGGCGCCTCGAGGATGTGGTTTTGCGCCACTTCTGAGGCGCCTCGAGGATGTGGTTTTGCGCCACTTCTGAGGCGCCTAGAGGATGTGGTTTTGCGCCACTTCTGAGGCGCCTAGAGGATGTGGTTTTGCGCCACTTCTGAGGCGCCTAGAGGATGTGGTTTTGCGCCACTTCTGAGGCGCCTAGAGGATGTGGTTTTGCGCCACTTCTGAGGCGCCTAGAGGATGTGGTTTTGCGCCACTTCTGAGGCGCCTAGAGGATGTGGTTTTGCGCCACTTCTGAGGCGCCTAGAGGATGTGGTTTTGCGCCACTTCTGAGGCGCCTAGAGGATGTGGTTTTGCGCCACTTCTGAGGCGCCTAGAGGATGTGGTTTTGCGCCACTTCTGAGGCGCCTAGAGGATGTGGTTTTGCGCCACTTCTGAGGCGCCTAGAGGATGTGGTTTTGCGCCACTTCTGAGGCGCCTAGAGGATGGGGTTTTGCGCCACTTCTGAGGCGCCTAGAGGATGTGGTTTTGCGCCACTTCTGAGGCGCCTAGAGGATGTGGTTTTGCGCCACTTCTGAGGCGCCTAGAGGATGTGGTTTTGCGCCACTTCTGAGGCGCCTAGAGGATGGGGTTTTGCGCCACTTCTGAGGCGCCTAGAGGATGGGGTTTTGCGCCAGTTCGCTCGCTTTCGTCCGTGCAGTGACAGCCGCTGCAAGGAGGAGTTTGGATCATATGGGATAGCTAAACTGAAGGAATCACATTCTTCTGACTATTTTTTCCTCCTCTCCCCTTCCCTCCCCTAACCTCCGCTCCGTTCCCCTCCCTTCCACTTCCCTCCCCTCCACCCCCTCCCCTCCCTTCCACTTCCCTCCCCTCCACCCCCTCCCCTCCTCTCCCCTCCCCTCCCCTCCTCTCCCCTCTGCTCCCCTCCCCTTTCCTTCCCTCCCCTCCATTCCCCTCCCCTCCTCTCCCGTCCCCTCCTCTCCCCTCCCCTCCTCTCCCCTCCCCTCCTCTCCCCTCCCCTCCTCTCCCCTCCCCTCCCATCCCCACCGCTCCCCTCCACTCTCTTCATCCCTCTCTTAACTCCAGGCGCTGGCAGTGGCAGCGACGGTGGAGTCTGCCACGTTTGGGATCGGTGGGAAGCGGTTCTACCTGTCAGCGCGGCACGGGAGGCGGGACGATGGCACGGAAACGCTTGACATCCACCTTCACCTTGAGAACAGCCACAGCGTGCAGCCGGAGATCCAGGTATGGTTGATTTGAGGCCAACCTCAGGCCACTGCAGGGAGGGGGATGATGGTGCAGGGAGGGGGATGATGGTGCAGGGAGGGGGATGATGGTGCAGGGAGGGGGATGATGGTGCAGGGAGGGGGATGATGGTGCAGGCACTCTACTCCAGGGTAGCATCTGAAATGGGGGTCTCTGGACATTCACCTGCACCTGCACCTGCACCTGCACCTTTGCATTCACCTGCACCTTTGCATTCACCTGCACCTTTGCATTCACCTGCACCTTTGCATTCACCTGCACCTTTGCATTCACCTGCACCTTTGCATTCACCTGCACCTCTGTCGCTTTCTCCCCGTCCCCTTGCCCTTCCACCTTCCCTCCCCCCTTCTGCTCCCCTTCCTTCCATTCCACCTTCCATTCCCCCTTCCCTACGCCCTTCCCCTCCCCCTCTTCCCTCCCCCTCACCTCACCTCTTCGCTCTTCCCCCTCGTGATCTGAGCTCCATCGTATGCTAAGAGGTGGTGTATAGGCCTACCTTTGTGACCGCGTGACCAAGGGGTTTGGGCGCAATGCGAGCAAATTAAAATGGTTTTTTTTCACCTCCTTCCCTGCTTTCTTCTCTCCCCCACTTTCCTCCAACCCCCTTCCATCTCCGTCCCCTCCACCCCTCCCCTCCCATCCCCCCCGTCCTCCCTCCTCATCCCTTTCCCCCTTCTTCTTTCAGGTGAGCTTCATATTCTATGCCAAGCGGTGGCCGGAGGGCCAGTTTGACTACCTGCGGGACCGCGTCACCAAGGGGTTTGGGCGCAACGCGAGCAACTGGGGGTACAGCAACATCTTGGGGCGGCCGTGGGCGGATGTGGTGCAGGATGAGAGCAAGTACTTCAAGAACGGCGTCATGTCCGTCTTTGCTGAGGTGCAGATCCTGGAGGACGCAGGCCGCGGGCCCGTTGTAGGGGGGTGAGGTTGGGGGCGAGAGCGGGGGTACAGCGAGCAACCGGGGGGTGGGGGGGGGCCTAGAAGCTAAGCGCTGCCTTGTGTTGTATTTGCTGGGGTGCAAAACAAAGTGTGAATGAAGGCACATGCAGTTGGTGGGGTTTGAAGTCTGTACTTTGTTTCCAAGACTCCCCTTTTTTTTTTTTTTTCCTTGCCAGCACTGAAGCGTTAGCATTAAGATACAAGTGAGACAAAACAACACATCAAAAGATTCGGTGGCTTTAGGTAAAACTGCTGTTACATCATCCCTGGCCCTGTGCTCATTGACCGGTACTCAGGTGTGTACTCCAACAGGGATGGAGAACTTCATGTCATAAGCGTTACAAAAGAAAACGTCCGCGCTAAAATACATGCTGGTTCCGGCAGCAGAGGACGGCACTTTGACGCTGCAAGGACATAGAGCAGAGCCGGTGACATCAGCAAATCATGTTTTGACCGGAAAAAAAAAAAAACAAACAAACAAACAGAATGTGAATGCCAGAGAATAATTACGTACCGGACTGCCAGGCCCAAGAAAGTGAATTTTGCCAGCACCTTTCCACCTACGTCGGGATCACAGTCGAGAAAGGCATCCTTTGAAGGATATAGATAAAGGCGCTGGGTGCCGACAAATCCGGCGTTCCAAAACACTGTTTGGAGTACCCAAAAAAAATGGACAGAAATGAGGGTGAGAGAAAGTGCAACAGAGAGAAAAAGTGCAACAGAGAGAGTGCGAGAGAGAGAGAGAGTGTGTGTGAGAGAGAGAGAGAGAGAGAGTGTGAGAGAGAGAAAGAGAGAGAGAGAGAGAGAGAGAGAGAGAGAGAGAGAGAGAGAGAGAGAGAGAGAGAGAGAGAGAGAGAGAGAGAGAGAGAGAGAGCCTTGGGCTCTGGTCCTTAGCCGTTTTTAGCCTAGTTTCTTAGCCTAGACTAGTCCTTAGCCGTTTTTAGCCTAGTTCCCTAGTATTTAAGGCCTAGGTGACCCCTTTCCTCTTCATTATTCATTGGTGAGCTCATTCTGCTCTCCAAAAAATCGGCGGCTCGCGCCGGCCGCCTTCGGCGGCCGACGCTCGACAGCGCGGCCTTCGGCCGCGCGCGAGGGTTGGCAAGGACATCAAAGGGAAAAGACTATAAAAGGCACGGATTACAACATGCAGTGGTAACTGCCTAACACACCAACAGGCAAGGTAAGTCCCCAGCAATGGGGAAGAAGAAACAACAAGCAAAGGCGGCAGCGGGTACAACAACGCCTACGGGTCGGGCGCAATCAGGAACATCCGCCGATCCATCCAGCGGAGCGCAACCGCGAGGGCGGGTACTATCTCAAGGGGCGCCTCCTCGGCGGCCATGGCTACCCTGCGGAAAGCAGTCGCTCCAGGCCCTTCATTCAGCGACGGGTCCTCAGGCTCAAGGGGCAGGCACAGCATCGTCGACATCGCCTGAGCAGCGGCCTCCCTCACCACCCCCTGCTCGAACTCGCTCAGCTGCGGGTTCCGTGAGGCAAGGTTCCGCCGCCCAATCGCGTGGTTCAGCTGCTCCAACACCGTCGCCACGTTCGACAAACAACGCCCTACACCGCGCATCCGCTGTTCCCACCGGCAAAGATCGAAGTAGCTCGGCTCCTCTCCCCACTGCCGGCCCCACACGTCCAGGTCCGGCTGCACGCCCCAAGGTGGGTAAGGTTCCCAGTGAGGGTCGGGATCAGGAGCGGCTGGTGGTCGCTCTGGCGAATCCCATCCACGCGGGTATGGGCGACGGGGAGGAGGGAAACGGAAGGCAGTCTGCGGTACGGTCGGCACGAGGGGATGCTGACGTCGGGGTTGCTGCCAAGGGGGTAGCGCAGGCGGAGCAGTGTCTTCAACAAGCGGTGGGGGAGGAGACTGAGCAACAGGAAGGGCGACCGGCGCAAGGGGTACCGGCTCGGGTGGCGTGGACACGGGCGGCGGCGGCTGCGGCGGCGCTTGAATCCCCTCCGCCGCCAGGAGTGGCGGTGTTGGCGGATGAGAACTCGGCGCAGACGCCAACGACTGGGCCAACGGCTGCGGAGCCGGCTCTGATGCCGAGGACGGCTGCTGCTGCGATGTCGAAGACTGCGACATCGGCGGCGGGAGCTGCAGGGGCTGGGACTGCGCCACTTGGGGCTGAGCAGACGGACCAAGCGGGCGATAAGCTTGTGGTCCGTGCGGGCGCTGGGGACGAGGTGGCCGACGACGGCGAAAGTTCTGCCCGCGTGGTCGCAGTTGAGGAGGTGCCCGGCCACGGGACAATCGGAACATCGGCTGGCGAGGGGCCGGCGAGGGAGGAGGAGGCTGCGAAACACCGCCACCTACTCCGGCCGCAACCACATCCGCGGCGGCTCGGAGCAGGGCTGGGACCTGCCCGCCCTGGGCCCCTTGCGGGGTGGGAGCAGCAAGTGGACTCGCCGGACGCTCCGGCGCCTGGTGTGGGCGTCGCTTGCCCGTCATCGAATGCGCCTGCGGGCACGGCGGAGGGGACACACGAGGCGGAGGCTGTTATTGCGGCGGGTGCGGACCACGAGGATACGCTGGAACGACGCGGCGACACGGCAGAACGCAGGCGGTGGGCTGGCACGAGCCGTCAAAGAGCGCTCCAGGACCAGGCCGACGAACGTGCGGCAGGACGGCAGCCGCAAAACGCGGCGCCAAGGGCGGCGGGCAGAGGCCGAGGGAGGGGACGTAACGGGGGAAGAGGTCCCCGAGATCTGGCGGGAGCAGTGGCGAGGGAGAAAGCCAGATCTGGAAACTGGCGGGAACGGCATGAGAGGCCAGAGGAGCAGGTCGAGGATCCAATGAATGAAGGAGAAGAGGAGGGCGGGTCAGAATATATGGCCTCGCAGGAAGCGGATTCAGAAGATGCCTCATTGGAGGCTGAGCAGGGGGTGCCCATCCCGACCACAAATCGGGCTGGAGGAATCGGACGGGAGCGAGTGGAGGCCCCAGCAGACGTGGGAGAATCAGGGCCGCAGCAGCCCAATGAGGCCGCCAGCAAGGAGCGAGATCCCAGCATCATCGTGGATGATGAGGCCACCCGGCAGCGGATTCATGCATGGGATCTGGGACCACTTCAATCCAGCGCCCAACCCTTCCTGGTCCGGAAGCTTCCGCCGGAAGTCCTAAAAAATTTTAGCCTCTGCCTCACGATCCCGCTACTGCGGTTGTCAAAGTATCCGAACTGCCCAGCCGCGTGGCGAATCCTACAGTTTCTGCCGAGACTGACACTTAGGGCGAGCCTGGAAAAAACTCCTGGGAACAAGTGGGCAGCGGTGGAGAAGCGTCTCCAGCAATTTCGCGAGAAGGATTGGGATTCACTGTACCAGGAGGCCAGCACCTTCTCGGCAAACTCCAAACCCAGCAGACACGAGCCGGATCCAGAAGGCATCTGTGCCAGAGCAGAAGGGCTGGTCCGGAAAGCAAACTTGGCGAAGGCAGTGGCGGCACTGCGAACATCGCCGCTGGCAGAAACGTCACAGCCAACATTGGAGGCCCTCCGCTCGAAACACCCAGCTGCGGAATTAGCGATACCCGAAGGCACAGGGGGTTACACCACGTCTGCACTTGCCATTGGGGCGGAGCAGTTTCGCGAAGTACTGGCGAAATGCCCGAATGGAATCGGAGCAGGCCCATCAGGCACGTGTTTCGAACACCTCCACGACCCTGCTCTAACAAACGGGGAAATCTTCACGCTGCTCCACAAGACGGTGAACCTGCTGCTCAACACCTACCAGAACGAGCAGCTGCAAGATCTACTTCTCCCTGCACGGTTGATAGCACTCGAAAGCCAGGAGGCGGCGTGAGGCCCATAGCCATAGGCGAGGCGATCCTTCGGCTCACAGCCAAGGCGGCGCTCAGGGAGCTGTCCGCGGAAATCCGGGCCTATTTCCTACCCGTGCAATTCGGCGTAGCTGTCGCGGGAGGCGCGGAGTGCATAATCCACACGGCGCGCACGCTCCTTGCCGAGGACCCGAGCAGGATAGCGCTTCAACTGGACATCGAGAACGCATTCAACACGGTCGAACACGGGTGTTTCTTAGAGTCAATGAGATGGACGAGCCTCGTCAAGTTACTACCGCTCGTACGAACCCTATACAGCAAACCGTCGAAACTACTCCTCGACAGCGGGTTCGAAGCGGCGTCGATAGATAGTGCACGTGGGGTGCGCCAAGGGGACCCGCTCGGCCCCATGCTCTTTGCCGCGGCTATACAACCGGCACTGCTCACGGCAGCGGAAGCACTGCCCACAGTGACCGTGATGGCGTATGCAGACGACATCACGATCATCGGCAAACCGGCGGATGCGACGCGAGCGCTAAACATGATCTGCGGCGAACTAATGGGTTACGGTCTCCGGTGCAACCTGGCCAAGTCGACGGCGTGGAGTCCCTCGGGAAACACCGGAAACCTCCCGGACGGACTGGTGGCGGCGGTTGATGGCATAAAGGTGTTGGGAAGCCCCATCGGGACCCTAGCCTACAGCAGACGCGTGGTAAGGGCGACACTGGAATCTACGGCGGAGCCGCTCGGCCTCATCGGCAAGCTCCACCCACAACACGCCCTGCTACTGCTGTCAAGGTGCATCTCCAGACGAATCTCGTACCTGCTTCACACGACACCCGCGGACGTGCTACCACGGCGCGAATGGAGAGAATGGAGCGAGAGGCTCCTATGGACTGCCCTCAAAGCGTCCCACCTGCACACACCCTCCAAGGAGATCGAGCAGAGTCTGGTGTGGAGGCAAGCGACACTGCCGATCGCCCTGGGTGGATTGGGATTGGTGGATGCGCTCTCGGAGGCGCCAGCTGCGTTTTTGGCCTCTCTGAACGTGGCGCAGACACTCCTGCTGAAGGCCTCTAGCACGCCCTACCACCCACTCCAGCAAGTGGCGGCACTGCTGTCACCGCATGAGGATGGAAGCGGGAGTGGAGGAAGAACAACCTTACAAGACCTGCGGAGCAGATTGCCGGAAGCGGCGCGGGAGGTACTGAAGGAGGCTGGCAAGAAGAGGGAGCGGAAGGGCCGCCTGCAAGAGCAGCTGTCCAAACACGTGAACCTGGACCGAGCGGCAGAGCTGGTTGGGGACACGCGCATTGACAAGCCGGGTGAGGACAACGGCCACGTCATACGGTTGATCGCCCTGCAGGGGACAGGGGCGGGGGACTGGCTTCATGCAATCCCCACACGGGCGGACCTGACCTTCTCCCCAGGACAATTTGCTATCGCCCTCGGCTTCCGGCTGGGGTTGACCCTGCCGGTCACGGAGAACTGCCCTTGCGGCAAGACTCGGTCGAAGATAGAAGACCGCAGCCTCCCAAACCACCTGCTGCGGTGCGCGGAGGGGAGGGACAGGACAAACACGCACAACAGCCTGGTGTATGCAGCACTACGGATGGCCAGAGAGGCCGACTACATGACCATGCATGAGACCGCGGTCTACTCGCCAATAGTCAACCCTAAGCGAGCGGACCTGGTCATCACGGACAGGGAGTCGACCGAGACCTTCGTCACTCACGTTACAGTGACAGATCCGGTTCTGCAACACCGAGACACACGGGCGGTGAAGCGCCCCGGCTGGGCAGCTGAGGATGCAGCAAGAGGGAAGAGGGGGCTGTACGAAGGGCGCCCAGACTTCGTGGGGGTGTTCGGGCTGGCGGTTGAGACCTATGGGGCCTTAGCACAAGACACCCAGAAGTTCCTCCGACTTCTCGGCACCCAGGCGGCCAAGAAGAAGTACAGACAGGGGAGGCTCACCACAGTGGCCTCAAAGCTGACCGCACACTACCGACAGAGGTGGTCAGTGATGCTCCAGCGCAGCCAGGCCAACACCCTGCTGGCAAAGTCCAACAGGGCTGCAGAGCGTGCGTTCCCCCAGGCCCCAGTCGACCCATGGGAGCCCCGCCTCGGGGACATCTGGCAGGTCCTGGAGGACGAACTGGACTGGGGGCCGGTCCTGGATGGGTGAGGGGCCGGGGTAAGGGGGCTGGAGTGGGGAGGTTGGGGGGGTGAGGTGGTTCCAGGCCGCGGTCCTGGGGGAGTAGGCACTAGGTAGGCCTCACGGCGTCTCTGGCCGACAGGCAAGCTAGCCACAAGTTGTTGTTCTGTTGCTTGCTTGCTGTTTGGATACCTAGACTGCATGTTAGAGTTGTTGGTGCTTCCTTCATGCCTTGCCTGTACCCTGCATATTATCAATGAAGGACCGCTTGAGAGAGAGAGAGAGAGAGAGAGAGAGAGAGAGAGAGAGAGAGAGAGAGAGAGAGAGAGAGAGAGAGAGAGAGAGAGAGAGAGAGAGAGAGAGAGAGAGAGAGAGAGACGTACCAATGATATCTAATGGCTGCACCTTCTTTGGCACAACTTGTCGAGTAAAAAAGGCAAAAGGGACAAGATAAACCATTCCCTGCATGCAAAAGCAAACGGATGGGGATTATTTGCGCAAGGCGCCCTAACAAAACAAGGACTGGAGTCTAGATTCAAGGCGGGTTTGAGGCACTCCTGTAGTCAAAACCGGTCATGTGAGTTACTGAGGCTTCTAAGACAGATTCAGAGCAACAAGAGCAGCAGTGGGGGTCTGGGCGTCGTAAAGAAATAGCAGTGCTCACGCACCTTGGGAGTGGTCCTGGTGGGCTTGCTGCTATTAATCCCTCTGGCCATGGCGCCAGTGCTGGTGGCGCTGTCAGCGTAATCAGTGCTGCTGCCAGTGTTGGCGGTGTTGCTGCCAGTGGTGGCGTTGCGGGCAACGGTGGAGCGGGAACTGGGTACGAGGCGTACCGCCTCCGAACCTGCGCATACAGCACGAGCGACCTATCAGAAACGAGATGCGGAGAGCGTGGCGGCCCCGAGGGCAATCGAGTCTGCGAGTTTGCCTCGGACCGAGTGTTACATCCCCTGACCCGGTGGGTAGCGACATCGGAAAAAATGGGGTCTTCCAAACTTACGTGAAAGCAGCATCAGAGCTGCATTGGCGTACCGCTTTTGTCAGGTGCTTCAAAGGGCATGGAACACCTACCTTCCCGTAGGTTTGAGTTTGACGCTCGACTCACGAAATTTGCTGCGACAAATCGTGGCCGCACATCTCGAATGTCACCAAAGCAGCTTTGATGAAGGTGAGTGACTCGACTACCACGCGTCGAGCGTGCAGTCGCTGCTTGTGTTTGTACCAAATCGTACTGATTGGTTTAATCTAGTGTGGAAGATCTCGGCCGAACATCTCAAATTTGGAATTGCTAGTGTCCCGTAACTATCAATGTGTTTCATCACTTCGATTCTGACGTGTCTTGCGCGTATTCGTTGTGTTTTCAGGTTGCGAACCAATCATTCTGTCGTAAAGTGCCGATAAAAACAGTATTGATTCGGCCAATAAACCCTGTTGGTAATTTCCGAACGCATGGATATACCGCACTGGTGAGGCTGGGCAAATGTTCGAGACGGTAACATGTAACCTGCGATTCGTTTCAGAGTTTTTTTATAATGAATCAATGTGTTAATGTTACCTTGTTACAAAATCTGCTACATATACACTGTTTGTGACGAATGTATTCCGTATATTAATTCTGGTTCGGTTTTTTCTAAATTATTTTTCATTTATTGATACGCCATTTACATTTGGTAATTAAATCCCCAGCAAATTATTAAATACGTTTATTAGTACTACCTACTGACATTTTAATTTCACAGAACACTATCAGCTTTCAACTGTTACTATCGTACAAAGACTACTCTTGTAAATTCTATACTGGCAAGTACGAAATCTATCAATCATCCACCCCATCATTGCTAATGAACACGGTTGATTGCCCGCCCGCAAATTTCCAAGCGTATTGGGCGTGGTCCCACCAGGGCCCCCTTATGTTGTTCCTGCTTGCAATGCAAGCTCGAACCCAATTCCGCACCTTGACGTGATACCTCTCAACAGCGGCGCGGTTGTCTCTGTTGCTCGGCTGCATGCCTGACCCCTTGATCTTCATCTCGACCTGCAATTAAAAAGCAAACAAGCACCATTTGTGAGCAGACTGTTGACAGGAGCGGGGCATACAGAATGGCACAAATGAACTCACCCCGCAGAGCCAGAAGGCAATGTGCTTGAGGAGGAGCACGATCACGCTGTACCCGGGGCGGCTGAACGAGGCTGAAATGCCTCGCAGAAACTCAGGGCTTGCGAATGGGATGCCTTGCTGGTTCATGTGCCATATCCACAGGTTGAATGACCCTGGGACTGTTGTGATAGGTGCACGGGCAAAGGAAGAGGACGAGCAGTGAGGGGAGCGAGATGTGAGATAAGTGCAGGTGAGTGGCTGCCTCTGCTCCTCACGACCGTGCCCTTCGTCCCTGCTGCTGGCCCGCCAAATTCTGCGCGCAAGGGGGAGAAGGGGGGTGGGCGGGAGGGTGGGTTAAAGGAAGGGGGAGCGACGGTGAGGTGGGAGAGAGGTGGGATGAGTGCCGGTGCTAACGACTGCCTCTGCTCCTCAGCCCCGTGCCCTTCGCCCCAGCTGCTAGCACACTTCATTCTGCGCTCAAGGGGGAGAGGGGAGGCGGGCGGAACAGGAGTGGCAAAGGGAGGGTAAGTGCAGGTGAGTGGCTGCCTCTGCTCTTCACGACTGTGCCCTTCGCCCCTGAGGCTGGCCCAGTTGATTCTGCGCGCAAGGGGGAGAGGTGGGGTGGGCGGAAAGGGTGGGTTAAAGGAAGGGGGAGCGGCGGTGAGGTGGGAGTGAGGTAGGATGAGTGCTGGTGCTAACGACTTCCTCTGCTCCTCAGCCCCGTGCCCTTCGCCCCAGCTGCTAGCCCACTTCATTCTGCGCGCAAGGGGGAGAGGGGAGGCGGGCGGAACAGGCCTGTCAAAGGGAGGGGAGGTGGCGGTGAGGGGGGTTAGGGGTTGTATAAGTGCAGGTGAGTGGCTGCCTCTGCTCTTCACGACTGTGCCCTTCTCCCCTGCTGCTGGCCCAGCTGATTCTGCGCGCAAGGGGGAGCGGGGGGGTTGGCAGAAAGGATGGGTTAAAGGAAGGGGAAGTGGCGGGGAGGGGGAGAGAGGTGGGATGAGTGGTGGTGCTAACAACTGCCTCTGCTCCTCACGCCTGTGCCCTTCTCCCCTGCTGCTGGCCCAGTTGATTCTGCGCGCAAGGGGGATAGGGGGGGTGGGCTGAAAGGATGGGTTAAAGGAAGGGGAAGTGGCGGGGAGGGGGAGAGAGGTGGGATGAGTGGTGGTGCTAACAACTGCCTCTGCTCCTCACGCCTGTGCCCTTCTCCCCTGCTGCTGGCCCAGTTGATTCTGCGCGCAAGAGGGATAGGGGGGGTGGGCAGAAAGGATGGGTTAAAGGAAGGGGAAGTGGCGGGGAGGGGGAGAGAGGTGGGATGAGTGGTGGTGCTAACAACTGCCTCTGCTCCTCACGCCTGTGCCCTTCTCCCCTGCTGCTGGCCCAGTTGATTCTGCGCGCAAGGGGGATAGGGGGGGTGGGCAGAAAGGATGGGTCAAAGGAAGGGGAAGTGGCGGGGAGGGGGAGAGAGTTGGGATGAGTGGTGGTGCTAACAACTACCTCTGCTCCTCACGCCTGTGCCCTTCTCCTCTGCTGCTGGCCCACTTGCAGGGCAATGGGAGATGCTTGGGAGAGGGAGCTGCAAGGCAGAGGGTGATGGAGGAGAGGGTGTTGCTGATGTTACAAAATGGTGATTAAACGATAGTACTGACCTGCCTTGAAGACCGAGATGAACGTGGTGACGTCTGTGCTTCCGTGCACCTCCCGGCGCCTGTCAGGGCGCGATATGCGCAGGTCATAGGAATTGATAACCGAGCAGCGACCCTCCGTCAGGCACTTGTGCCTGAACTCCTGGAGCCTGTCGCGGACGTAGCCCCGCCTGTCTAGATCGAAATGGTAGACGTGGAGAAGGTTCCACTTCTGCCCCTGGGTCGTGTACCCCATCGACACCTCCATGGCACCGAGGATACTGCACCGCGGCGGCCAAAAGTCCACTCGGCCGTTTGGCGTTCGCCAAAAGAGGATGTCCAAGGCTGTGTCCATGACAAGCTGTTTGGGAGTCATGGGAAGGACGGATTGGGTGTTGATGGTAGCGCATAGGATGGTTAGTTGAGACAGGGTTGATGCAGGGAAAGGGGTGATGCTAGGGCGGGTTTAGGGTTCCAGACAAAGGATTTAGGGTGGTGGGACAGTGTTGAAAACCTCTGTATATAACAAGTGCAACGTATACTTACAGTTAGACCAGAGGGTTGAGGGGGTACTGTCCTCATTGCCGTCGCGAGCACTTGAGCGAATTCCTGAAACTCTGGAGCCACAATCTCATTGTTCAGTGGGACCTGATTGCTGTACGCATTAGCAGCAGCAGCTCTTACAGATTGGCGAGTTGCCAGGTAGCGTGGAGTCTCAGACTCGCTCGGGGGGGGGGGAGATGAGGAGGGTAGTTGGCGTAGAGTATCAACCTGGTTCTGCAGCGTCAGATTTTCACGCTGCAGATTCCGGACATGGGCAGCCATGGCATCGAACTCTGCTCTGGTCACTGGAACTCCTGCAACACGGGGGGCCAGAATGTCCAATAGATCATCATCCCCTGCATCGTCACCCACATCCAAAGTGCCCGGGTCCACAACACCTGTTGGGATAGATGGAAGGACGGGAGTAGGTGGAAGGGCACCTGCAAGGTCGGGCACATTGACCTGCGGAGAGGCCGGCATGTGAGTCTCTGGCTGGATGGAGTAGTGCTGTGTATCGAGCGGGGCTTGGGGTGAGTCATCATCCGGAGAACCGAAAACGTCGTTCGAGTCGGAACTTGTATAATCGTGCTCTTCAACGCTGCAGGTAGACGTGCCGGGAATGGAATGAATGTCAGCATTAGCAGGCGGCATAGTCTCGCCGTGTGTGGCGTTGGCTGGTGCTGGTGGAGCCTGCATATGTAAGGGATTGTGGGTGGCGAGGGTAGAATTGGTGTGCAGAAAGAGATTAGAGTGGCCCGACGGTCCAGCAACGGTAGCATCTGCAGTAGCCGGTTCAACTGGAGTTCGTAGCAGTGAGGCGAATGGGGCAGATGTGGGTGAGCCAATTGGCGTGGTAAACCCCTGTTGCTCCTGCTGATGGAACGCGAACGCAACATTGGCGGGCGGCTGTCGAGGGGCAAGGAGAGCAGCCAGTGTTGGAGGCCCCCCGGTAGTCTGATGCTGCATCACCTGCTGCTGCTGCTGCTGATGCGGCATTGCGAACGCAGCTCTTGCGCCCTCAGATGCCGCCGGCGCAGCATTGGCGGGCGGTTGACGAGGGGCGAGGAGAGCAGCCTGAGTCGGAGCCGCCGCGGTAGTCTGCTGCTGCATCACCTGCTGCTGCTGCTGCTGCTGCTGCTGCTGCTGCTGCTGCTGCTGCTGCTGCTGCTGCTGCTGCTGCTGCTGCTGCTTCTGCTGCTGCTGCTGTTGCTGCTGCTGCTGCTGCTGCTGCTGCTGCTGCTGCTGATGCGGCATTGCGAACGCAGCTCTTGCGCCCGCAGATGCCGCCGGCGCAGCATTGGCGGGCGGTTGACGAGGGGCGAGGAGAGCAGCCTGAGTCGGAGCCGCCGCGGTAGTCTGCTGCTGCATCACCTGCTGCTGCTGCTGCTGTGGCGTTTGCTGCTGCTGCTGATGCGGCATTGCGAACGCAGCTCTTGCGCCCGCAGATGCCGCCGGCGCAGCATTGGCGGGCGGTTGACGAGGGGCGAGGAGAGCAGCCTGAGTCGGAGCCGCCGCGGTAGTCTGCTGCTGCATCACCTGCTGCTGCTGCTGTTGCGGCGTTTGCTGCTGCTGCTGCTGCTGCTGCTGCTGCTGATGCGGCATTGCGAACGCAGCTCTTGCGCCCGCAGATGCCGCCGGCGCAGCATTGGCGGGCGGTTGACGAGGGGCGAGGAGAGCAGCCTGAGTCGGAGCCGCCGCGGTAGTCTGCTGCTGCATCACCTGCTGCTGCTGCTGCTGCGGCGTTTGCTGCTGCTGCTGCTGCTGCTGCTGCTGCTGATGCGGCATTGCGAACGCAGCTCTTGCGCCCGCAGATGCCGCCGGCGCAGCATTGGCGGGCGGTTGACGAGGGGCGAGGGGAGCAGCCTGAGTCGGAGCCGCCGCGGTAGTCTGCTGCTGCATCACCTGCTGCTGCTGCTGCTGTGGCGTTTGCTGCTGGTGCTGTTGCTGCTGCTGCTGCTGCTGCTGCTGCTGCTGCTGCTGCTGATGCGGCATTGCGAACGCAGCTCTTGCGCCCGCAGATGCCGCCGGCGCAGCATTGGCAGGCGGCTGTTGAGGGACGAGGAGAGCAGCCTGGGTCTGAGCCGCCGCGGTAGTCTGCTGCTGCATCACCTGCTGCTGCTGCTGCTGCCGCGTCTGCTGTTGCTGCTGCTGCATCACCTGCTGTTGCTGCAGCAGCAACAGCTGCTGATTCTGTCGCTGCTGCTGCTGCGTTGGCATTGCGAACGCAGCTCTTGCGCCCGCAGATGCCGCCGGCGCTGCATTGGCGGGCGGCTGTTGAGGGGCGAGGAGAGATGCCTGTGTTGGAGGCGCCGCGGTAGACTGCTGCTGCATCACCTGCTGCTGCTGCTGCTGCGTTTGCTGATGCTGCTGCTGCTGCTGCGTTTGCTGATGCTGCTGCTGCTGCAGCCGCTGCAGCGTTTGCGGCGGCTGGAGGTGCTGCTCAATGGCATCAGCACCAAGAGCACCCGCAGCCGCAGCATTGGCAGTCGCATGTCGCTCCGCGAGGAGTGCGGAGTGAGCCTATGCCGCGGCTGCAGCGTGCTGGTTACTCCGAGTCAGATACCCAGAGGTCGAAGGAGCAAGCGGCGCCGCCTGTCCGACATTGTTGGATGTCGGTAATACAGGCGCGTGGCCGCTAGTGTCGGCCGTGAGTGTCTCGACGTTGCGAGCTGGAGCAGTCTGCAAGACATTGTTCAGAGAGCGGTAACCTCTGCTGCCTGCACATGCAAAAAATGAAGGGGACAACAGGAGTGCGGTTATTAATAGCGTGTGTAACTGTTTTAAAATCGGAAAATGGGTATATACGGTCGTAACTACAACTAACCTTCTGGAACAGGTGATTGGCTCCTTCGAGCCGATCCACGACCACCTCGTCCACCGCGGTTGCTCTTTGAACTCCCACCTCGACCGCCCTTTGTCGCAGCGTGTATCGTCACCCCGTCAGTGACCATGACGGTCATCTCGAACAAACCGTCAGCAACCGTATGAATCGTCTGAGTTCCTTGAGTAATGTACACAATCCCACAGAAGACACATTTAGAATGTGGACTTGTGGGCGAGAGTATATAGTCCGTTCCAGCCAGCTCTTAGTGGACTCTGTGTATACGCATCGGAAATGAAGCCTAATCTGCCTACACTTTCTCAGGCATTGAGCAGACGTCACCGTGCTTGACGCTTCTTCGAACACCAGCCAACAACCGTGAGAAGTTGTGCACAGAACGATCACGTAAGGGCTAGGGTTTGAAGAAGCGTTGTGAGTGTGACTAAGTCGGTCGGGAAACTGGTAATGAATTTGCAGCGCAACTGACAACCCAACGTCGTGCGTGAGCTGTAAGGAGACGCGCTAGGCATTGCATCTGACGGTCCATACATGTCTTCAGTTACCGATCTAAGAGACACGGAATGCACAGCGCACCAAAGTAAAAGCGCCTCTCGGTTTCCCGCGACTGCTAGTGAATGTGGACGCTGCAAATATGGTGGGCATACATAGTGTACCCCGCCCAGTAAGTACAGTACATGTAGCTCTGATCACTGAATCCTTATAAACACCATCAACCTCAATATACAAGGACATGGATCATTGAGCACCTGGGGCATTAAGAACAGCTTGTATGTCAGAATAACGTCATAGAAACATCCCTGCGACACATTGCAATGGCAGGCCTTAATATTCTAGATTGCAAGGAATTGCCTCAAATTTTACCCAACAACTGGTATGCGTTGATGCCATGAGCTTCTCGTATTGATATTGGAGCAATCTGAGTACGGTATACAGGCAATGAGTACCCCATATCAGTTGCAGAGCAAGGGAATAACGGGAACTAAGCGGCGAGTACGGAAGTGTCAACGCATGCGTCTCTTGTGAGACAACAGCTAACTGCACTTCTTCCAAAGGCACGGTTAACTGTGCTAGAGTGATTGGAAAGACCTGTGCTCTTGACCAGGTCTTCATACATGTGCAATGAGTACCCCATATCAGTTGCAGAGCAAGGGAATAACGGGAACTAAACGGGAACTAAGCGGCGAGTACGGAAGCGTCAACGCATGCGTCTCTTGTGAGACAACAGCTAACTGCACTTCGTTCAAAGGCATGGTTAACTGTGCTAAAGTGATTGGAAAGACCTGTGCTCTTAACCAGGTCTTCATACATGTGCAATGAGTACCCCATATCAGTTGGAGAGCAAGGGAATAATGGGAACTAAGCGGCGAGTACGGAAGCGTCAACGCATGCGTCTCTTGTGAGACAACAGCTAACTGCACTTCTTTCAAAGGCATGGTTAACTGTGCTAAAGTGATTGCAAAGACCTGTGCTCTTAACCAGGTCTTCATACATGTGCAATGAGTACCCCATATCAGTTGGAGAGCAAGGGAATAACGGGAACTAAGCGGCGAGTACGGAAGCGTCAACGCATGCGTCTCTTGTGAGACAACAGCTAACTGCACTTCTTTCAAAGGCATGGTTAACTGTGCTAAAGTGATTGGAAAGACCTGTGCTCTTAACCAGGTCTTCATACATGTGCAATGAGTACCCCATATCAGTTGGAGAGCAAGGGAATAACGGGAACTAAGCGGCGAGTACGGAAGCGTCAACGCATGCGTCTCTTGTGAGACAACACCTAACTGCACTTCGTTCAAAGGCATGGTTAACTGTGCTAAAGTGATTGGAAAGACCTGTGCTCTTGACCAGGTCTTCATACATGTGCAATGAGTACCCCATATCAGTTGAAGAGCAAGGGAATAACGGGAACTAAGCGGCGAGTACGGAATTGTCAACGCATGCGTCTCTTGTGAGACAACACCTAACTGCACTTCTTTCAAAGGCAAGGTTAACTGTGCTATAGTGATTGGAAAGACCTGTGCTCTTGACCAGGTCTTCATACATGTGCCATGAGTACCCCATATCAGTTGGAGAGCAAGGGAATAACGGGAACTAAGCGGCGAGTACGGAAGCGTCAACGCATGCGTTGCTTGTGAGACTACAGCTAACTGCACTTCTTTCAAAGGCATGGTTAGGGGTGCTAGAGTGATTGGAAAGACCTGTGCTCTTAACCAGGTATTCATACATGTGCAATGAGTACCCCATATCAGTTGGAGAGCAAGGGAATAACGGGAACTAAGCGGCGAGTACGGAAGCGTCAACGCATGCGTCTCTTGTGAGACAACAGCTAACTGCACTTCTTTCAAAGGCATGGTTAACTGTGCTAAAGTGATTGGAAAGACCTGTGCTCTTAACCAGGTCTTCATACATGTGCAATGAGTACCCCATATCAGTTGGAGAGCAAGGGAATAACGGGAACTAAGCGGCGAGTACGGAAGCGTCAACGCATGCGTCTCTTGTGAGACAACAGCTAACTGCACTTCTTTCAAAGGCATGGTTAACTGTGCTAAAGTGATTGGAAAGACCTGTGCTCTTGACCAGGTCTTCATACATGTGCAATGAGTACCCCATATCAGTTGAAGAGCAAGGGAATAACGGGAACTAAGCGGCGAGTACGGAAGTGTCAACGCATGCGTCTCTTGTGAGACAACACCTAACTGCACTTCTTTCAAAGGCAAGGTTAACTGTGCTAGAGTGATTGGAAAGACCTGTGCTCTTGACCAGGTCTTCATACATGTGCCATGAGTACCCCATATCAGTTGGAGAGCAAGGGAATAACGGGAACTAAGCGGCGAGTACGGAAGCGTCAACGCATGCGTTGCTTGTGAGACTACAGCTAACTGCACTTCTTTCAAAGGCATGGTTAGGGGTGCTAGAGTGATTGGAAAGACCTGTGCTCTTAACCAGGTCTTCATACATGTGCAATGAGTACCCCATATCAGTTGGAGAGCAAGGGAATAACGGGAACTAAGCGGCGAGTACGGAAGCGTCAACGCATGCGTCTCTTGTGAGACAACAGCTAACTGCACTTCTTTCAAAGGCATGGTTAACTGTGCTAAAGTGATTGGAAAGACCTGTGCTCTTAACCAGGTCTTCATACATGTGCAATGAGTACCCCATATCAGTTGGAGAGCAAGGGAATAACGGGAACTAAGCGGCGAGTACGGAAGCGTCAACGCATGCGTCTCTTGTGAGACAACACCTAACTGCACTTCGTTCAAAGGCATGGTTAACTGTGCTAAAGTGATTGGAAAGACCTGTGCTCTTGACCAGGTCTTCATACATGTGCAATGAGTACCCCATATCAGTTGAAGAGCAAGGGAATAACGGGAACTAAGCGGCGAGTACGGAATTGTCAACGCATGCGTCTCTTGTGAGACAACACCTAACTGCACTTCTTTCAAAGGCAAGGTTAACTGTGCTATAGTGATTGGAAAGACCTGTGCTCTTGACCAGGTCTTCATACATGTGCCATGAGTACCCCATATCAGTTGGAGAGCAAGGGAATAACGGGAACTAAGCGGCGAGTACGGAAGCGTCAACGCATGCGTTGCTTGTGAGACTACAGCTAACTGCACTTCTTTCAAAGGCATGGTTAGGGGTGCTAGAGTGATTGGAAAGACCTGTGCTCTTAACCAGGTATTCATACATGTGCAATGAGTACCCCATATCAGTTGGAGAGCAAGGGAATAACGGGAACTAAGCGGCGAGTACGGAAGCGTCAACGCATGCGTCTCTTGTGAGACAACAGCTAACTGCACTTCTTTCAAAGGCATGGTTAACTGTGCTAAAGTGATTGGAAAGACCTGTGCTCTTAACCAGGTCTTCATACATGTGCAATGAGTACCCCATATCAGTTGGAGAGCAAGGGAATAACGGGAACTAAGCGGCGAGTACGGAAGCGTCAACGCATGCGTCTCTTGTGAGACAACAGCTAACTGCACTTCTTTCAAAGGCATGGTTAACTGTGCTAAAGTGATTGGAAAGACCTGTGCTCTTGACCAGGTCTTCATACATGTGCAATGAGTACCCCATATCAGTTGAAGAGCAAGGGAATAACGGGAACTAAGCGGCGAGTACGGAAGTGTCAACGCATGCGTCTCTTGTGAGACAACACCTAACTGCACTTCTTTCAAAGGCAAGGTTAACTGTGCTAGAGTGATTGGAAAGACCTGTGCTCTTGACCAGGTCTTCATACATGTGCCATGAGTACCCCATATCAGTTGGAGAGCAAGGGAATAACGGGAACTAAGCGGCGAGTACGGAAGCGTCAACGCATGCGTTGCTTGTGAGACTACAGCTAACTGCACTTCTTTCAAAGGCATGGTTAGGGGTGCTAGAGTGATTGGAAAGACCTGTGCTCTTAACCAGGTCTTCATACATGTGCAATGAGTACCCCATATCAGTTGGAGAGCAAGGGAATAACGGGAACTAAGCGGCGAGTACGGAAGCGTCAACGCATGCGTCTCTTGTGAGACAACAGCTAACTGCACTTCTTTCAAAGGCATGGTTAACTGTGCTAAAGTGATTGGAAAGACCTGTGCTCTTAACCAGGTCTTCATACATGTGCAATGAGTACCCCATATCAGTTGGAGAGCAAGGGAATAACGGGAACTAAGCGGCGAGTACGGAAGCGTTGTCGCATGCGTCTCTTGTAACACAACAGCAAACTGCACTAGATTCAACGGCATGGTAGACAGTGCTAGAGTGAGAGGAATGGCCCGAACTTTAAACGAGCCCTGTGTACATGTGCATAGAGCTCCATAAACTAGTTTTAGAGCTTGCTGAGAATGGGAACACAGTAGCGAGATGGGGAGCGTCTAGGCATGTGTGTTGGGTGAAACAACCAGTTGCAACTTTTTACGCTGGCATGTTTGAATGATTGGAGTGGCCAGACATCTATACAAGCAACTAATATCGTCGTTACAGATTGAGAGATGTATGTTGATGGTTTAACGTCAAACAAACACATCAATGGTGTATAAGGTGAGCTGGAAATTAGCTAGTGTTGTATGGCATAACCTCGCTTAAATAGTTTGAAACTTGTCCCGCGTGGTGTACAAGAGAGGAAGC